CAAGCTTCATCCACAATCGATGGGACATCGTGAATGAAGTTGTCCTTCGCAACATCACCCATCATCGCAGAAGGAACGCGGATTGGGCGCTATCATGCAGCCAGGCGCCCAGGCTCGGAATGGCTTGACGACAGGTGCCAGGTGGCATTCAGCAGCGTCATTCGATGTGATGAAGGAGGGTGGGTGCTGATCGAGGATTTGGTGAGGCATGAGCAACTATGGACCCATGACAGCAGACGCATCACCGAAGCGGTCTCAAGGACCGATGAGCAACAGAGGAAGAGAGTGTACAATGAAAGACTTCAGCTATTGTTCCAAGGAAACATGCTCGCAGCCACGAAACGCCATAAGGCCAAGATTCGGTTGCAGTTCCTGGGAGTGAGAGTGAAGGACCCCGGCGTGGAAACTCTTGGATCCGCAGGTTCGAACATGTTGGTATCGATTCCTGACCAGATCACAGAGATCCAGAACAATGATCGTTGCCGGCACAGCCAGAGGTACCTGAACGTTTGCAACGGCTGGGTGAAGCCATGGGCAGTTCGGGCTACAAGTGGTCACTCTGCGCACTCAGATCCCCAGAACAACTTGCTTCAGTTGGACAAGAACAGGTTCGCAATATCTCCATCTATGACCCTCTTGCAACGTCTTGGAGGCGCGTTCCACGCTACGGCATGCCGCAACCTGGATTCCATTGTCACGCAAGGCATCATGCCTGGTTCGGAGGCCCCCGACGGGGACTTCGACCATAGGCGCCAATTTCGAGGCAACCAAGGCGGCAGACTCCACAGCTATTGGGGGGTGTTTGCACCGTTCGATCACCGGAATGCGACGACCAAGATGCGGGTACATGGACCACAAGCCAAGCACATGCCGCTGGCGGTCCTCCATGTCCCATCGCAGGACCTTGCACGAGAAGATGGACGTATCACAGACAGCGGCATCATGATCGTTGGCCGAACGATACCGTTCCAGTTCGTCAAGGAGGTATGGTTTTGCGTCCCGAACCCTCAAGACACACACTCTTTCGCTCTGGTGGAAAAGATCTACGATGAACGGTTGGAGAAAGAGATGGTGTTGGACTACAATGCATCACCTTTGCTCCCTGAGTTCGAGAGATACCGAACGCCAAGCAAGATCATGGAATTGCTTTGCGAGATGCCTCCTGGACCCCACGACACCAGCAAGGAGCAGATCATTCGAGACCTTACGACTGTCCTGGAGTCCCACAGGGAGAACACGGTTCGGCATCACTACATGGACAAAGGGATCAAGTTTGTCATCAAGAATTGGCGACCCGAAGACCTACGCAGAGACGAGGATGGAAGGAGAATGAGGGTGTGCCCGGCATGCTACAACATCGTTCCAGCATGCTTCTCCCGATGCACGTCTTGCTGGTCACAGTTCGTTTCTAGCGGATATTACCAAGGTTCTCCACAACGGGAGACTCCTACGGAGATCCCCAGTGACTTCATTGCTCAGACAATGGAAGCCGCGGCAGCAGCAGTGCCTGAGGCGCCCGAAGAGGAGCAGGAAGCCATGGAGGTAGAGACCGTTGCGGAACCTGAGGAAATCCCAGAACCATCTGTCATCGCGGAGGACGATCCAGAACAGGAACCTGATGAAGAAATGGACACAGAGCCAGGAGAGGACTTTGATGACGCAGTACCAGATGCAGTTGCACAGGAACGACGTCCCGTCCTCATCGCCGGCCAGTCTTTGAACATCGATCCTGAACTACAACTCGCACGTACCGCCATGCAGCCATCCTACTACTCAGGGAAGCGAAATGCCCATTGCATTGACGCCAACATGGTCGCTCTTTCGTATATGGCATTCGTGGTATGCAGGACCATCTACAAGGCTTGGTCAGGATTCGCGAAGTGGGCTACTATGCCGTTGTTTCAGATGAAGGAGAATTTCGCACTTGGCCAACGCTATGATGTGCTCGGAAAGTGGGGATCTTTGGCTGTAGTGGACAGAGAGACGGGTGTGAGCAGGGATGTGACTGATGAGGAGATCATTCGCTTTGCCAAGGAGCCTGAGAACCTCAAGCAGTACGATCCCAACGGGACTTACACTTTGAAGCGCTTCCGGACGAATCAGATGCTTTCGTTGCTTACACGGGGAGCCAACATGATGGGAATTGGCAGGGACAACTTCAACCCTACTACGTACTTGAAGAGCAACAGGGATGAAGATGTGAAGGCTATGCACTTTTGTTGCCTGAACGTCCTGTGCGAGGTGATTCCGATGGTGACAGGACACCAACAATTCTCAGTGCTACGACCAACGCCAACTGGACCGGTGGACTTCTTGTACATCGACCCCGTCGGTATCCTGCTGACTCATGCCGATCATTCAGTCCAGACCATTGGATTGCTGGTGGACCACAATGTGCAAATGCCTGCGCATTTCATGGACAGATTGGTCAGATCCAAGGCTGAGAGACAGCAAAACCCGACGACCAAACGTACTGAAGCCCTACATCACATTTCGGCCGCTGACTATCTCCCTCCAGGTGGTACTTCCATCCTGGACACGCCTGTCACTACGGAGGAACGTGCAAGCGCTTCTTCGGCCAAGGGACCTTCAAAAGGGCGTGAGAGAACCGGAGGTGAACAGCATGGAGGCTGGAACGCCAACACCTACTATGACTACACCGCCGGCAAAGGCCGAAACAAAGGCAAGGACAAAGGAAAGCAAAGGGAACAGTATCCAGAGGAAAACCTCCGGCCCTGGGACCGCGATCCTGCGACCACGCGAAGATGGAGATGAATCAACGCTTGGTCTTCCTCGCCTATCAGTTCGTGACCTCTGAGCTTCGCCCATGGAATGCCATCGCGAATGCTTCTTTCTTCGGTGACGCCTGATTCGTTTGCCATTTCAGGGGATCGTTACTGACGTAGATGAGTGTCACAACGTTTCTAATTGGGATGCAAAGCTCTGATTTTCAATGTCAACGTTGCGGCGGAACATTTTCTGTTGTCCTATCGTGCCATCTTCCGGGTGAGCAGCGTCGGAGACGCAACTCATGGGGGGTGCGAACGGACTGCGATGCCTTGTCAAGTTCTAAGGTGTCACTATAAGAGCTGTGAGCAAGACCGTGTAAAGTGCAAGAGAAGGGGGCACGCTACGCGTCCCTCGACTCTAAGGGGGCACGCTACGCGTCCCTCATCTTTACCTTTCTATGTGACCGCCCACGCAACGTTTGGCTCAAGTCAATGCCCATAGCTAAGTGCTATAAGTGTCTTCTATCCTGAGCAATCAGAGCTATCCCGTTGCACAGACGAACCGCCGCCGGCAGTGAGTGCAAAAGGAACGGCCGCCGGTTCTGCCTGCATTGGATTGCACGTGTGGAGGAGTGAGAGAGACAGGGTCCCGTCTGTGGAGAGTGCAAGCCAGCCACACCTACATTCATTACAGCTCTGGTGGGGAGAGCAGCAACCTAGTCGAGATCAATCCCCCACGCATGCGCAATCTGGCAGACAAACATGCAAACCTACGTAGCATCAAACCCGTCCAAGAACGCTGCTGTGTCACTACAGTCTCAACCCACAACTGTTTGCGAAGGTCTAGATGTGCACGATTGAGTATATGCATGTACCATCTTACTCAAGTTCTGTTAATCTATACACGCGCAGACACGCAACGCAGAAAAGATTCACACACATGATATCGGCATGTGCACGTAAGTATATATATATATATATATTTATCATTTGTTCGTTCTCTTTTGTATACCTGTGTATGTGTATATATGTGGGTGGTTGTCAAAATTATGGTCCTTTTTTGGGTATCCTAAATACTAGGTGCGTATTACAATAGGGACCCAAAAAGGGCCCCTAATTTTGACAACCACCCATGTGTATATACAGACACACACATTCACACTTACATGTCTGCATCAAACTGTGGGTCAGGTCTTTGGTGCTGCCCTGCAGCACAACGGCACAGAGGATCCGCCCCCGCTTGAGACGAGTTCAGGGTTTTTGGGTGAGTTTTCTCGTTTTGGGTTCTAGTTCTAGTTTGTAATTCTAGGTTTTAGGTGTTGGAGCTTTTTGGGTTGAAAGGTTTTGAGGTTTGTGTTTCAAGGGTTCGTTTGGTTTTCAGAATCCTGCGCTTGAGGTGGCGCGTGTCCAATCGCTGTATGAAGCCGCCAAGGCAGCAACACGAGGCCTACACCTACGACGTTTGAAATCAAATGCTTGAGTCTGAAGCCCTAGACCCCTAAAAGTTCGACAACGGTACGCACGTGATCGGGCGCTGCAAAGCAGACCGGCCCCAGCACCGCAGCGTATTTGATGGTTTCTTGATTGAAGCCTGTAAAGAAGACCAAGGTCAAGCTCAATGTCCCAGGCCCTGTAAACTTTCGCGGCTTTGCGAAGCCCAGAGCCAGTCTTGGCTAAGGGCCAAAACCTTAACTAACCCTCTGCCTGTAGCCCGAAGCCCTCCCTCCAAAAAAGTTCCGTGGCCCGGAGGCCTTTCCCGCGTAGATCGCCTGGAGCTTCTGCGCGAGGCCACGGCTTCGGCTGTGCTGAGTGCGGTTGGGTTTCAGCCGGTATGATCGAAAATTTCTTTTAAGGTTTGAAAGCATCAAGGCAGGCTTGATGCTGAATGTAGAGGTCGGCGTCTTATTCACAACATCCACTTCGCGAGTCGACTCGGGCATGAGCTTTCGGGAAGTCAGGTGTCAGGTCCATGCGTCTTTAAAGACCTCGAAAATCGCCTATCCCTTTAAACCCGCAGCATCCCGCAGCACTGTGTACCCTAAACCAATCAATGACTAACGCAGGGCCCCGAAATTCCGAAAGCCTCAAACCCTCAACCGGTCTTCTTCGCAAGATGCTCGGGCTCAAAATTGGCCCAGCGTGAACCAAGGGGTGCGTTTCGCCGCCATGGCTGATGAACCCGAAGATCCCAATGTGAACCGAGATGAGCTGTTCCATATTGTGAGAGATGGAGACTATGTTGATGCCAAGACGGCCCTAGCAAAGGCAGATATGGCTTGGCGGCATACAGCTCTGCAACAAAATTTCTTGTTCTTTATTGCGGCACGGCGCCGCCGGGGATCCGAATTATTAGCAAGGCAGTGCATCGAGATGGGTGTAAATCTAGAGGAAGTGGATGTTCATGGGCAGACGCCCCTGTATTACGCCGCAGCGCGCGGCAATTTGGTCATAGTGAAATTCTTGCTTAATCTGGGGTTTGAAGTGAACTTTCGCGACAAGGCCAGGAAGACTGCTCTCTTCTTTGCCATTGAGAAGAATCACATGGACGTGGTCGACTACCTGATAGAACGTTCTGCCTCTACATTAGTTCGGGCCTCCGACGGCAAGACGCCACAGTCGATGCTCAAGGCAATGAATCACAAGGCCCCCAGCAGGAAAAGAGAGCGGGTGTCACCAACACCAACTTTCGTTTGCCCGGGCGCGGCAACACGGAGCCGTTTTGCTCAGTGGGAATGGGCCGGGGCCCAGGAGGAGACTGAGCCAGTATTTGAGAAAAAGGAGGACAACGTGCTCGTGGAGAACGCGCAGTATCTCAGTTCACAAGCTAGTGCGGATGTCAAATTGACCGCTGCACGAACAAGATCACAAGAACAAGATCACAAGAACAAAAACAAGTACAATAGCAAGGTCGCAAGAACAGGAAGAACAAGGAGAACACCACCAGCAACAAAAAAGCACAATCAACAAAAGACACCAACAGCAGGAACAACAGCGACAACCACTGCAACGACAACAAACAAAACCAAACAACACGACGACACCATCATCACCACCACTACTAACGACAGCAACAGCAACAGAAGCAGCAACGCGAACAACAACAGGAACAACGACGATAACAAGAACAAGAACAAGAACAGTACTAGCAATAGCAACAACAACATCAACAGCAACAGCCATAGCAACAGCCATAGCAACAGCAACATCACCACCACCACCACCACCACCACCACCACCACCACCACCACCACCACCACCACCACCACCACCACCACCACCACCACCACCACCACCACCACCACCACCACCACCACTACCACCAACCACAACAACAACACCACAATCACCACCAACAACAACAAGAACTTGGGGTGTTTGTGTGTGCGAATGTTTTTGGAAATCTTCTTCTAACTGGACAACTAAGGTACTACGTGTGTGCATCAGTGACAGGGTGTTCGAAACGCCTCCGCCGCTCGGAACGGGAGTTTGTTGGAGATCACGCACATCTCCATCAGCAAGAGACCTGGTACAGCAACTTGACTCCTGAGAATTCTGCCGCGCTCGTGAGCGTGAGCATGGGCGACGAAAAAGCACATGAGAAAACCATCGACGAGTTGGCGCAGGGATCACGGCCTCGTGCCTTCACGCTGGCAGCAGTGTCGCAACAGACTCGCACACTCGCTGGTTATGTGTATGCATCTTTCACGGACGAGACGTTGAAGATCGGCCAAGTCAAAGTGGACCGCCCCCATCAAGAACGGGGACTAGGCGGTCTGCTACTCAAAGCGGCCGAGAAGCGAGCACAGAACTTGGGAGCATCCATCTCGAAAGCGAAACTCACGGTCCTCGAAACCAACACAGGGGCTCAAAGATGCTATGCAAAGTCGGGGTTCAAGGTTACCACGACATACTCGTCAAGTTTTCCACCGTGCGCTTGCGAAGCTAAGCGAATCCCTTGCCACCATGAGAAGATCCGGTGGTACAACATGGAGAAAGCTTTGCCTGACAACACGGCCTGAAAAACAGGCTGCTTCCCGGTGAGGGTTGAGGGTTAGGCGCTCCCGGGATTCATGTGTGGCGGCTCAGGGTTTGGGCCTCGAGTTCAAGTGTTTTTCAGACGACACCGGCCCGAAAACCCCTGAAGCCCAAAGCTCGGTGGCGAGGCGGACTTCTATGGGCTGAAGGCGCTCTACAGCTTCATCGGTGGGTGCCGGACTTGGCCAGGAGTTGGATCTGCTTCTTCTGCCTGCTTCTGCTGATGACGGTCGTGGTGCTAGTTAAGCCGATGCTGATGCTCATGTGCTGGTGTTACCGACACTTGCTGAGCTAATGCTGCTGCTGATGGTAATGATGCTGACGATGACGACGGTCGTGGCACTCGTACGATTTGGCAACACGCATCATCATTGGTACACTGACGACGTGTTTGGAGCTCAAGGCAATTTCCACAGAGATGAACCAAAGCGTCGTCAGCATAGCGGATGGTGACGGCAACCTTAATCGAGACGATCGTTTTGAAGCTGTGAGAGATGGGCAATTGGCTGAGGCCAAAGCTTCTTTCGGTCAGGGGTTGACCTCGAGCATGTTGATTCTTGGCGTCAGACACCCTTGCTCTGGGCTGCTGCGTGCGGAAGCCTCGAGATGGTGAAGCTCCTCTTAACCTTCGGTCGGCTTTCGAGGTGAATGTTAGAGACCACCTCAGGAAGACCGCAGTACTCTTCGCGATCACTTGCAATCATTGGGAGTTCCTCGTTGGATGCGGGGATCCGCCGGCGTACAAACCGCGAGATGGATAAAAGCCTCCACCGAGAGATTCCGGAAACGAAAGAGAACTTCACCAACAGAGAAAAGTGCATGTTCAGGCGCTCCAAAAGGATCTGCTTTTCCATGTGGGAATGGGGAGAGGAGGAGGGCGAGCCTGTGATTGAAAGTGCAAATGAGAACTTCCGCGTGGAACGCTGCAATGTAGACCGGCCCTACCAAGGCAAAGGACTTGATGGTCTTTTGATTCAGGCTGCAGAGGAGTCGCGAGCACGCTTTACATAAGCGTCCTGGACAGCAATGAACCTGCCAACAAACGCTACGTCAAAGCAGACTTCATGGTCTCGTGCGGGTCCCCGTCAATGGTTTTCATGTTATTCATGTGGAGCCCGCCCCTGCAGCGACGAGAAGATCGATTGATTGCAGATGGAGGCATCATTTGCAAGAGCGTTTCAACACTTCACCCCTCCAATGTTGGACTTGAATAACCGGCTGCTTATTGTTCTGGTCGCAAAGGATGTGAGAGCACGAGGAGCAGCAATGCAATACATATATATACATATCACGTAAACACAGGAGTGGGCATGCTTTGGCATCATTATTCAGTGTTTAGGGTTAGGGTAGTGGTTGTGGTGTTGGTGTAGAGTGCTCATGCTTTTGATCGTGGCGATGGCGGTGGCAAGCCCTCTGGATGCCCCAAAGATGCATGGCGTGTTGCTGCCTTTTCGGACGCGAGTGGTTCAGGTGCATCAGGTGCCAGATGTACTGTGGAAATCTGCAACGGGTGGGTCTCCTTCTGCCCACCTGAAACCATGGCTGAAGCGTGAGCCCCCCTAATCTAGGGGCCCTCCCAATCTGTTCCTTCTCAGGCCCACGGTGCAGGCGGCCATGATGCGATCACCTCAGAAGGAGAGGCCCAAGGCTTCCCTTTCGGCTCGGGGTTTCCTTTGATCGGAGCTGCTGGTGGCAGCGCTGCAGGTGTTGGTGCCGGAGATTTTCGGGTGTCTTGTGTCAGGGCTTGGGCTTCAGGATTTCGGTTGAGGCCTTGAGGCGTCGTTCATGTACATCTTCATTTGTCAAGTTACTCATCTTACAGCTCTTTGTCTCAACAACTGCTCTGGAGGGTTTCTCAAGCTTTCTTGAAGTAGTTGCTAAGCTCTGCTTTTCCGAGGACGGGAGGTGGCACGGGCCTTTGGCTTCGAGGCCTCTGCCATGACCTGGTCGAAGCCTCAATGGCGAGTGGACTCTTTGCTCCTGAAAAATATAAACCCTCTCCCCATTCTGTCTTATCATTGGGTACCCAGCGCAGAGCAAAGGGGCGTGCGAAAAGACATGAGCAATGTCTTTCTTGCAGAGTTTTGGGACCGGGACTTGTGGGATCTTGTCTTCGGTGCATTCGGTCTAAGACATGCAGGCGAAGGCGGAAGCAGCGGACTTCTCGGTAAACAGCCGGAGCCATCGAGGCTGGGCAGAGGGTGCAGAGCATCCCCAGCCCAAGAGCCCTACATCCCAAGACCTCCGAGCCTCTTCTGCTTGGCCCTCGCGACGCCTGGCAGTCTATGCGCGCCTACGCTACGGCCAAGAGTACAGCGGCGACTGGATCGTCTCCTCCCCGAGGCTCGGGCCGGGCTTACATGGCTGCTCACCCGCTCAAGCAGTGCTGAAGACTGATTTTAATGTTACTTGTATGTTCATATCTTTATATTGACATCAATATATGTTTCAATCTGAAGGCTGAAATTCGTATTTGTCGTGTCGCAGGAACCTGCCACATGTGCAGTACGAGCTCTACGATGCCTGCCTGGCACGCGACCCCATCACCGCGCTGAACAAGATGGGTGCCCTGGTGACTGTAGTGCTGTCCGGGAGCGCAGCGGCCTCTGGTAGACTTCGGTTTACTGTCCAGACAGAATGATCTGTCAGTCCTCAGATTCTTGGATTTCTCCGACAGGTGCTGCGGGGTTCCGGCCCTGCGTGGAGCCGCCCACTGTGCCTGCTAGTACCTCGTGCCAGAACGATGACTGGGAGATCATGCTGTACAAGGACTCAGAGGGTTAAAGTCCAAGCGCATGGCTCGTCGTGGCCATCCTGGCCATGACTCCGTGATGCAGTGGCCCAGTGCCCGTTGTCGGGAACAGAGAAATTGGGGATCGCCGGTGGTGTCGGCCTTCAGCATGGCATGCCCCCCCGGAACCCCGAAAGTCTTTGCCCCGCACAGAAGCACACCGTGAGACCATGAGCCCGGACCGGAGTGCACAGACAGGACGTCTGGCAGTGACAAGACGGAAGGGCCCCGATGGCGTATGCGGGGGCAGAGCTGCAAAGACTCCACCCAGGCGGGCCCGGGTCCGTCTCCCGCGTCTTTCCTCTCAGTTGTTGTGGCCTTTGAAAGTGAAGGATCGTGTTCGGGTCTGGGTCTGCGCCATCACGGCAGGCAGATTTTGATGTGGGGGTTCATGCCGTTCAACGCCGTGAGTAGGCGCATCTGGATTGTATTGCAAAGAAAAATCGAATCGAGTGTTCACCTGCGATTGTCAGGTGTCCGTCGACTCCTCGCGCAGAGCCCAAGCCGACTGAGCGAGCCCTCTTCGTCTTCTGCTACGACCGCTACCACTTCCTCCTTCTACTGCTACTCCGACGCCTCCTATCACCATCACCACAGCTACTGCTATTGCTAGCTGCACATTCAGAATACTGAAACCGATCGGAAGACGAAGGCGCAGGAACCTTAGCAGACCGTTGCACCAGCCCGTGGTTGAGGGAATCCTGACTCCTGAAATGCTCTGTGCATGAAAGCCCTTGGCTCCGATGTGACCGCCCCCCTCAATCACGGCGATGTGCGCTTGGAGGCTCTGTTTGGAGGCTCCAGACTCCAGGTGCTAGAACCGCCGCCGCTCCTTTGCTCACGCTGACACTCTGTGCGGGAGCAAAAGGTCGTGGCCGGAGGCCATGAACTGCCTTGGAACTTCGTCTTGCGCAGCTTTCTGGTCCCGTCCCTGTCACAGCAACCAAGCCAACAACAGCGACAGCAGCGACAACATCAACGACAACGACGAAGCCGAAAACGATGACGGCGAGAACGAGAACCCACACATCAAAGTGTGTTTCTTGATACTTTTCTTGATGATTTGAGCTCGGTGACGATGAAAACGCCAACAGAACATGATTCGAGGAGACTGATGCCGGACATGATGGCCTTGATGAGGTGTATTATGATATCAAACCGTCGGTTGTGGTGCGGGTGGAGAAGAAAGAGTCCAGAGACGACGATGATGGAGATGATGGTGATGATACGATGACGAAGACGATAGCGCTGACGACGTTGCAGGGCTCGCTGGAGCAGCACGTTGTATGGACCACAGCACTCATGACGAGCTCGATCCGGGAGAATTATGGTGCAGGCGGTGGGCTGAGCTCGTGATGATGATGATGATGATGATGATGATGATGATGATGATGATGATGCCGGCATTGTCGTCATCATCGTCGGCGTTCATGGTGATGGTCGTGGCAGGGTGTGGGTGTTGTTGTTGTTGTTGTTGTTGTTGTTGTTGTTGTTGTTGTTGTTGTTGTTGTTGTTGTTGTTGTTGGTGGTGGTGGTGGTGGTGGTGGTGGTGGTGGTGGTGGCGGTGCCAGCAGCAGTGCAGCCGCCCGTCGCTTTGGAGATAGGTGGTTTCTGAGCTGAGGGTGTGCGCCGCCGCAGTCATCAGAGAGTGGGGGCACAGCGCCAGGAGACGTAGCAAGAGGAGCCTGTACAAATTCCGGAGCTCGTTCGCCTGCTGTGCTTTTGAATCCTGCCACTGCATGGCGCTGCCTAGCAAAGCTGGCCAGATGCCAGAAGACATGCCAGTGGAAGGCCTGGATGCTGTCAAGTGTCGATTTGACAAGGCACAGAACTGCTGAACGCTTCTGCACAGGACTGCACGCAGAAGATTCGCCCCGGCCAGGCCCTTAGTGAAACTGTGAAACGCGGCAGCGTCTGTTGTAGTATACAAGAGCAGGCTCTAACATAGCGTCTAGGCTGAAACCTAAGCTAGTCTGATATAACAGAATATGATAGAGGATAGCATAGCTTAATGCTCAACAAGAAAAGACAAGACAAGTGGGTGTAAGTACATATAGTATAGCAAGGTATGGCAAAGTACAGTATGTAACAGTATGCAGAAGCACACAAAACATGCTTTAGCATTGTCGGTAATATCACAGCCGGATGGCCCAATATAGTGTACAATATTGCTTGAGGTGATATGTTGTAGTAAATAATACGACATGATCTGTAACCGAATCTGCAATACAACAAAGCTCGTCATGATGCTATAGTACATAAGATAAGACAACAAAGTAGATACAGTACAATATGGTCTGCAGTATACTGTAGCATGCCGAATATGACAAAACATAGTAGAGTACAATACTGCACGATGTACAATGTTACAGCATAGTATATAGGACAGTAAATGGAAGGTATCATATTACATGATACTGTCACAAACATTCCATAGCATGTAACATGTAACATGTTTTTATGTAATATCGTATACAGAGTAATATGTACCTTTATATCTAGCAGAACATCTCTGTGTGTGTCCCAAACCTAAAACTCCGAAACCCTAAACCCCTAAACCCTAAAACCCCTCAACCCTAAACCCCTGTTTGTGGCGACTTCAGAGGTTTGGATGGGAGTCTGCTTTCTGGGATAAGCATGATGATTATGGCCTTTGGTTCACACTGTGGGAAAAGCTCCGCACAAAACAGCCGAATCGTTGGTCTTTTGTTCATGTGAAGTCCCACCGTCGGGTGGCAGATGTGCAATCGGAATATGACAGATGGACTCTGGCTGGTAACGATGGTGCTGATCTTCATGCTAAGGCTGCTAATACACTGCGTTCTGTCAAATCCAAGCAGCTTCATGCAGCTGCTTGCCGAGATTGGCAAGCTCATTCTTGTCGAATGCAACAAGTTGTGACTTTACATGAAGCCATTGTTAAAGGTCCGGCAAAAACTGCTGTCAACAATGCATCTGCAGGGACTGCCTGCCGTCCACCTGCTGTCCTTTCGTTGGGAGAGGTTGTACTTGAAGCCAGTCTTACTCAGCAAGCTGAATATCCTGATGCTCTGCTCGGCCCTCGTTTCCTTTGGATGTTGCACTCATGGTGGACGTCGCAGGAGATTTGCAGCTGTCCTCAGGGTTTCTCGATTGCTGAGTTGTACTTTTGCTTTGCAGAGAAGACAGGTTGGATTTCACCTCAGAATGTGGCTCAATGGAAGCCTGACACACTCCCCTTTCAGTGGCGTACATCGGTACAAACAGCTTTTGTCAATGAGAATGATTATCCGGATCTGGTGCTCCATCAGGTATCCTTCAGCAAGCAAACTACCATTTTTCTGCATGCGCTCAAACTCCTGGCATCTCGGCACTCTTTGGCTTTAGGTTTCGGCCGAGGTCCTGCACTGTCCTTCTTGGAGGTCTACGAGCCGGTAGCTACTGTTCGTGTGGCCCCTGCTGCAGCAGTGGCTATGCGACAGTGGTTCATGCAGCAATGTGAGTTCAATTGGAGGCGGTTTAAGGCCAGCTTGTATCATCCTCGAGCAGTACCGATGTCATGTCCAGTGCCGGTCGTTCATCCTTTGGAAACGTGGAATTGTTATAACCAGCGTCGCAAGCACAAGTCGTCGCGATGAGTATGTTTGTCTACCTCCCACAGTGGAAGTGTAGTTGCTTCGTCCGAGCAATCGTCCGAAGTGTCTGTCCGACATCCTGCATAAACCCCTAAACCCCTAAACCCTAAAGCACCTAAACCCTAAACCCCTAAACCCTAAAACCCCTACGTAAACCCTAAACCCTAAAACCCCTAAACTAAACCCTAAAACCCCTCCTCAACCCTAAGGCCCCCCTAAACCGTAGCCGTTTTGGCTCAAGCAAGCGCCTACTTTCTTGAGTTAAACGACTTCCGACGATCCCGCACTCGTGGCTGTGTCAGGAAACTGGCTTTGGGGGGACGAGGCACAAAGCAAGCCTCTAAGTCGTTCGGCAGAGCAGGAAAGTACTCCTGAGAGAACGGCACATCCAGAACAAAAAGCCTCCGGGTGAAACATCTGCGCAATATGACGGCAGCGATACCCAGCCAAAACGCCTGCAGACTCCTGGGCGACGCCGAAATAGCCGGACCTACTTCACCCCCGAACACGTGCCCAAAATCGCCCGATCTGTGACCGTTCGGTGGGAACCAGCCAAACACCAGGCCTCCGGTTTCGGCGGATTGCTTCGTTGCAGGTGGATTACGGCCTCGAGACTCTGCTGGTGGCGCAGAGAATTGACATCTTCTCCAGGCTCGCAAGCTAACTTCAATCCGCAGCTTCCAGCGTGCACAGCATGGACCTGCGCCGACAGCTGGCGGACGCTACCGGTGAAGCTCCGCGCCTCCGTGATTTGGTTGCAGCAGCCCGGACGTATTCAATTTTCCTTGTTGGTGAGGCATCCTGCAAATCTCAAAGACATCGTTGCCACAGGGAAAATGAACCGCTGCCCGGCTTCAGCTGAGTACACCATATTCCGAGACATCCTCATTGTCCAGACTGTGTACCTGCGGATTAGTTCGGCTTCAAGCTCAGCGGGTACGTGCTCTATAGCTTCCCGGCATGCTGCATGCACACCCTTGTGCGAGTCAGACCTTGTGCTTCAATGTGCATACACACAGTCTGGCGCAAGCCCGCCTGCATGCTCTTGTTGTTCTGCTTCTTGTACCCGGACACGAGCTGCTTGGCCTCTCTGGGGCTTGAACTATAGCCTGCATGCGAGCCGCTTGCCACGTAAGATATGCCCAGATGCGCAACAGACAGCCCTAATACTGCAACCCGGTTCCTCCTTGCTCCCACCGCTTCAAAGGCCAGAAGCTGCCGCGGGAACTGGGTACCACTTTGCTGGGCTGGAACTCAGCGACATGGAGCTCGCAGCAGCAACCGTCCGCTGTCATGTCTGTGTGACGTTTCGTCAGAGCTCTTGCGTCAGCTTGCTGCACATATTCCCCTGCATTCCGCTGCTGTGTGCATAGCTTCCTAGCCGTGTGCATACTTCCAGCTGCCATGGCTTCCGCTTGGCCACGAAGCATAGTCGTCCAGAGGCCTTGGATAGACCAAATCCTGGACGGCAAGAAGACGTGGGAGCTTCGCAAGGATGTGTGCCACATCCGGGATCTTGTGCTGTTAGCCGAAGGATCTCATTTCCGTGGTTATGCCAACCTGGAAGATTGTTTTGTAGTTGAGCACGACATGCTCCAGAACAATGCCGACAAGCACTGCGTCCCTGCAGATGTCCTTTCCAAAGTCCAGTTCACGTGGGTGCTGTCAGGGTCCGAGCGCTTTGACGTCCCTGTGAAATATAAGCACCCTCGAGGAGCTCAGACGTTCTTCAGCATTCAATTGTTGGTGGTGGATGTCATGAACGAACTGAGGTTGCGACTCCTGCAACTCGGGTTGGAACCTGCTGAGAAAGTAGCTCCGTCTTCTTCTTCATGCCACCGAGGCAGCAGCGTCGTGCCCCGTATGAGGGGCGAGCTGCCTTCTGCACCCGAGCCGCAGACCTTGGATGGTGCCTGTTTTCTGCGCGAGGGGAGTCATCCTGAAGGAGGTGGGCAGGGCCAAGGAGGGGGCCGGGCCATCGTGGAGGAGGCGGCAGTCCTCGCCAAAGAGAGTGGGACTGCTTTTCTGGTCCTTTCTCCTTTGGACGCGGCTGCCGCGGGCTTTGGGTGCGAGTGGGCTTCCACACACTTCATTGGGGTTGGTTTGCCTATGGCCGTTGCCCAGCACGGCAAGCCGCCCTAATTGAACTTATCAAGCACACTCTCGGGCAGCACCGGAGCCTTCTGGGAACCATGCACAAGCATGACCTTTTGCGTCCGACGGACTTGAGCGACACTCTCAGCTGTGAGTGCATCGAGTCCATGCTTGGCTATGCCGCGCTTATTCACTGTATGCAGGAGAGAGGACTGCTCACATTCGACGGTGCAGCAGAACCCGGCACGCTGCAGGGATACATCGTAGCCACGGGCTCATGCTCCGCACATGCGTACGCGAACACGCGCCCAACGCTCGGGCCAGAGCGTCGTAGGATGCTCAACACGAGCTTGTGGCTGAGTAGTGCTAACCAACTGCGCCGGGCCGCGTGAGTTGTCAAGAACTGCTTTTCTGAAAAGGATGCAGAGAATGGGCGGCAACGCCTGAGAAGTTCCGTTCAGGGAAATAAACTTTCATGCTGGAGCTTGACTCGAGTGTGGAAGGAATGAGTCTGGCATGCGCAGACTAGGTTCTGAAAGCCCGCGGTCTGTAAGGGACTGTGGATTTTGAGCTAGTTTGCATGTGTTAGGCTACGTGCTGAGGCTCGTCGGTGTGTCCGGTCGCGGGAAAAAAGGTGTTCAGAGGTCGCGTGTCCGCACGTGACTGCGCAGCGCAGCAGGTATCTGGGAGGGTGACCGGACACCCATGGACACCCTTAGCACACCTCGAAATCTGGCCTTGCTTCGTCTCTGGGGATACGCAGTGAGTTATACAGCGCCACCCTAGCGTGGCGTCCAGGTGGATGAACACCTCAATCGGCTTCCGATGAGTCTAGTTGTGAACGTCGGCACGCGAGTTGAGGAAGCCACCACGCGTGGGTAGGGGGCATCCAGCTTCTAGTGGCAGCGTGTGAGGCGGCACTGCTGTAACGTCCTAGCACGGGAGGTACCAGGGTTAACGTGAAACTGCGTAGTCTGTAGGTGCCGCAACATTTGCAGGTGTATGCTTAACATGCGCAGCCGGTTGTCATGCGGATGTGACTCCGGTGTGAGTGTTCTCGAAAAGACTACGGGATATGAGCTAGCTTGGTGAAAGCACTGCGGTGTTAGCCAGAATCACAGACGTAAGAGGCATCAGGTTCCGGCTCGTGCCGCGGCAGCCACATTGCGCTCGACAAGCCCAGGCAGTCTCTTGAAAAAAAAATCAAAACCTTAAACCTTAAACCCTTGGCCCTAAACCCCAACGCGGACATGAGAGCCGCCAAGGCCCACTCTCCTGACGTCCCGCCTTGCGGATCTCTGTCAGAAGGCCTGAGACATCCCAGGGTTGCAACTAGTTTAAAATGGGGTCGGAAGAATCGCGAGTAGTGCCCCTTCATAGTCCCTACATGCATATTATACATACACCCCCCCCTCCGCTACACCAAATCCGATCTTCAAGCTGTTAAGGTCGCTAAATTGGAGCCAGACTTTGGCTACGGCCGTGCCCAGGACGAAGGAATGCCGGCGGTGCAGGCGCCAAAGCCACAGGCGCTCCGACGTTTATGAATTAGGGGTTTAGGGTTTTCGGATATGTGTATATTGGTAGAGATCATGTACAAAGAGATGTGCACAAGTACATAAACGCGTGCAGACGTACTTGAAGTCGACACGCATGCATACATACGTACATACCCATACCTACATACATACGTACATACAATTGCAGACACATTAGCATAGATACATATCTACATGCAGGAATGCGCACACTGGCAGACAAACATGCAAACCTACGTAGCATCAAGCCCGTCCAAGAACGCTGCTGTGTCACTACAGTCTCAACCCACAACTGTTTGCAAAGGTTTAGATGTGCACGATTGAGTATACGCATGTACCATCTTACTCACGTGCTGTTAATCTATACACGCACAGACACGCAACGCAGAAAAGATTCACACACATGATATCGGCATGTGCACGTAAGTATACATATATATATATATATGTATATATATGTATATATATGTATATATATGTATATATATGTATATATATGTATATATATGTATATATATGTATATATATGTATATATATGTATATATATGTATATATATATATATGTATATATATGTATATATATATATATATATATATATTTATCATTTATCCGTTCTTTTTTGTATATCTGTGTATGTGTATATATGTGGGTGGTTGTCAAAATTATGGTCCTTTTTGGGGTATCCTAAATACTAGGTGCGTATTACGAAAGGGACCCAAAAAGGGCCCCTAATTTTGACAACCACCGATGTGTATATACAGACATACACATTCACACTTACATGTCTGCATCAGACTGTGGGTCAGGTCTTTGGTGCTGCCCTGCAGCACAACGGCACAGAGGATCCGCCCCCGCTTCAGACGAGTTCAGGATTTTTGGTGAGTTTTCTCGTTTCGGGTTCTAGTTCTAGTTTGTAATTCTAGGTTTTAGGTGTTGGAGCTTTTTGGGTTGAAAGCTTTTGAGGTTTGGGTTTCAAGGGTTCGTTGGGTTTTCAGAATCCTGCGCTTGAGGTGGCGTATCAAGCCGCCAACGCAGCAACACGAGGCCTACACCTATGACATTTGACTTCAAATGCTTGAGTCTGAAGCCCTTGACCCTGAAGCCTACAATCCGTAAGCCCTTAACCGTTAAAGACGTCCCTGGGCTTCCTTTCTAGTGGCCCTAAGCCCGACGAAGCTCGGCCTCGTGTGCGCCTCCGTGAGGAGGGCCCGGTGGAGTCCAACAGCGAGGGAATCCCTTGCAACAGGCTGCAACAGGGTTAGGGTTTCGGATTTGGGGCTTAGGGGGGCCTTGGGGGTTGCCTGGAGCATACAGTGGGATATTGCCGTAAATGATTGGAAGACGTTTGTGTTTCGCCATGTGAAACCGTATCAAGGTTTTTCATGTAGCAGCAGCATGAGTATACAACGACCAGTATGAAATCGCACACAATCGTATCGAGCAGCGTCTTGCTATAGTAGCAACTGCCTGAACCCGCGACGAACAGGCATCTCAGTGCGTTTTCCGCTGAGTTTGACTGCTCGAGCCTAAACTCCTGAACCGCAGAGCTCCCAGGACCTCAAGGTTAAAACAACAAAGTCCGAAGACCTCAAGTCTAAACCCCCCCAAAGCCTCAAGGGGTTTGGGGTGTTTGGGACGACTTCCTGGCCGGGATTGTCTTCAGCTGGTCAGCGAACCAAACAAGCACGACTGCTCCGAGGCGTTCGCCCCGATGCACCCACCTTTATCATAACCCAGGTGAGTGTTGTCCACGAGACACCACCCGGGAGCTCGTCATCCCGAAGGGTGGATGGAATCCCACACCTTTAAACTTGAAAGCAATCTGTAGGCCCGCGACAAGCAGGAATAAACCCTAAATGCGAGATTTTGGGGGAGTGTTGTTTTGCTCTTTTCCAAGTTCTTGACTTGAGTTTCAAGATGGCGGGGCTCAAATCTGGAAATACAGTCTAATGATCTAATCCTGTGGGAGATCTAGAGGCCCCATGTAGCCCGTGACCCTTCCCCCTGAATCCCACACCCCACGTCGCAAGCCGGCCTTAGCTGTTGGCCGCAAATGGGAGTTTCCGAAAATTAGGGGTACGACTATAACATGATCGAACCGTTTTTTCTGGGTTTCAGGAGTTCTTTCTCAGGAGCCTTGGGTTTAGGCGAAACTGGGCTTTTGCTGAGCTGGAAAGCCGGCCTCGGCTCCAGGAAAGAGCCCGAGGAGCTCGTGAAGGAAGAGGCCTTCTGGAGCAAAGCACAGGAGGCGCAGCCTGGTGGGAGTTTCCGAAAATGGGGGACCCTAGTATAGTACTCTAAATAGTAACTTTCTTATAAAGACCCCAAAATACGGTACCCCTAATTTCGGAAACTCCCTGGTGTTCTCAAGTAGCAGGAGTTGCAACTCTGAACCTGGAGCCTGTTAACGCCAGACTCACTTCCACTCACCCTGGCCCGAACACCCAATCCGCAAATCCTGAAGCCCGACAGTCACGAACTTCAAAACGTGGAGCCCGAAGTATGCACTTTTTTCGGAGGCGCTTGAAGAGCGCGCCCGACGTGAGCAGCTCTTGCAATTTCTGAGGCAGATTGAACCTTTGGAACCTTTGAATGTCAATCTTCGCCGTTGCTGTGATATACATATGTAGCTCACGGCCGTGAACGCATGCAAATCTGCGCACATACCTACACCTACATATGTTCAGTTGGCTTGGTTGCTTACCTGCTTGTTTATATGCTTATGTACTTAAGTCATTCTACCGTTCTACCTACCTACCGGTCACCTGATCGACTGACAAACCGACCTTCCCTTACCTACATATGCATGTTAAGTTCACGAAGCCGTGCAGCATGTCCACACAGATTGGCGGCATTCACCTACATACATGCATACGTAAATACCTACATAGGAATATACGCACATGCATGCATGCATGCATGCATTTATGAGGATTATGATCATAGTGACGATCAGAGTGTTAGTGGTGATAGTGATGATGATGATGCTGCTGATACTGATGATAATGTTGATAATAATGATGATAATCATAATGATTACAATTATCATCTGCAACCTGCGAGTCGTTCTGAGAGTTTGTTTGCAATAGGCTGTAACGTCGGATGGATGGACAAACGACCAAGGTCGACCCTGCCATGATGCTTAGAGTTGGAGCGTTCGGATCGTCGTGATCGTACCGCCGACATCGTCCAGCTTCGTCCAGATCAAGATGCCCTCGCTGCTACGGTTATCACGAGAAGCCCGGCCTGAAGCCGAATGCTGCAGGAAGCATCGCTTCAAAGACGTGAACACCAGCAGCGGTTGGCTCTAGCCTCGTCTTTTCTCCCAGCAGATCTCAGGCTAGTGGGATGAATGTGGGTGGGAACCCCAAACAAGAGTCCTTTGTGCAGGGATCCTCCTGAGTTGAGCACGGGCGACGATTTGTGTGTTAGAGCGTCTGGGCCCTGAAGGGGATCGACCTGCTTGCAAGGTTCTTCAACTTCCGCTTTCCTCTGCATGCAGCTGTGGAAGACAACGATGCCCGGGCCAAAGACACCTCCGATCTCTGTATATCTCTAGCGTGAGGGCCTTTGCTGGGATATGGCAGGAGGATGAACCTCGGAAGGCTTACGGTCTAGGATTTCTTAACAGAAGTGCCGCGTGTGTCTTCTAACATGTCGATCCCTCAGGTATGAAGTTGGGAAGCTCTGAACAACCCGACTGGAAGTCCTGGATCCCACGGTTTGATCTTCAGAGAACTGGTGTTCTGCTGCTGCTGCTACTACTGTATCAGCTGCAAGAACGGCAACGAGTCCTCGATTTCTAAGGACCTGTCTAGCCAAGATTTGCCAAAACCTGAAATCCACGTGCGAGACAGTCTGAGCTGAGGCTGAGATGGTCAGAGTGCTGCTGCACTTCAAGTCAAAGACAAAGATGAAGGAGACCTGGGCCTAGCCACTTTGTTCATGGCGCTGTGCAGGTTCAAAGCTTTGCAGGTTCGAATTCTTCACGACCAGGTTTCCTCTTGAACTCACTTCCGGGCGTGAACGATTTGGGGTTCGGCGTGGTAGGTTCATGCTTCTACCAGGACGCAGCCGGGCTTTCCGCCCGCCAGCTGGCAAGAAAGAGGAACCACAATGGGTCCCACGATGTGATCCTCCAGATCCTAAACGAGCACGCCGCTGCAAGGCAGAGCTGAGCCCTGTCAGACATCCCCTAAAGCCCTAAACCCTAAACCCTGAATTTTACGAGATCTCCATATCATATCAGACATAATATGTATATATACATATGTGTGTATATATATATATATATCCAAGAGATCTGGCCCCAACTCCTTGAAGAGGCGGAAGCGGGCAGCCGCCCGCCGCGCGACGCGCTCGAAGACGAAGACGGACGGTTGCGGACTTAACGAAGCCTTGGAATCCTTATATAAATCCCAAACATACTACGATCCAATATACCCCCAAAGGTTAACCTGAGCAGCTCTGCGTTTTGAATCGTTTTGAGAGCTTCAGCGTCTGGAGTTTCGCATATCTGTTTGCGCAGCGACCTTCGCTGGTCCGCCAAGCTCCCTCAACTCTCAACCATCCGACACATGCCAAGTCTGTCCAAGCCCTCAGCTGTAAGCCCCGACCCCAAAGGGCCCATAAAGCGTTTAATGCTGGGCCCCTCGACCCGTGAACTTCGTGACGAAGGGCCCAGTAGGGGCCCCAAGCCATGCGAGAGCCTAGGCCTCGTGGTCGACGAGGGCGAACCTCCGGCCGGGATCCTGAACTGGAGCCCTCCCCCTGCTTGGGGTTCTTTCAGGTTTGATGAAATTGCACTTTTGAGGAGTCGCCTGGAGGCTTTCGGAGTGACCTTGCGCCTCGGGCCCTGGTAAACCTCCGAAATGTCTTGTTTTGAATCGGACGGGGCTCGACCTCGCAGAACACAGTAGCTTCAAGAGACACGCGAAAGGCTCATAGATGCGCCTCATCGTCACTAGCACCCTGATGTCGAGGCCGACGGCACGGAGGGCCAGCCTGATGTCGGGGGCTCCCCAGAGGGTATCTAAGAATCTAAGCTTCCCGTGCAGAGCACGGTCTGGACACTCCGTGCGGGTTGCGGCGCGCACAGCAAGCTGCACTTGCCTCAACACTGCCTGTCGACTTGCCTTTCGCCTTGCGGATCCTTGCGGTACTTGCCTGTTACTGTTTAGCTGTCTTGCCCACTATAAGAGCGAGGTATAGGTGGAGCGGCTCCGCGGCATGGTAAGACAGAGACAGAGTCTTCGCTATGCCGGCACCATGTCTTTTGCTTCTTTGTGCCCGGAGCTGCTCCTACTTGCTCACTTATCTGGAGGGTGCATAGCTTGAGGAGGGTCGGCGCTTCCTTCTTTCGAAAGAAGTGAGTTTCCGCGCCGATCGTAGATGCAATCCAGTCATCTGCACCTGCATGTGACTCTGATGCTTGGCTTCAGATTTCGCCTCCAGGTCCCAAGCACTTTCGAAGAAAAGCCAGAGCATCGCTTTAATGAATTCGGGAACCCTCCTTTATCATCCAGCACTTGCAGAGTAAGTGACGTGGGCAGAGGAGTCTTGATGCTCCTCAAAAAAGGGCGACTTCTCCGTCCGCTTGTTTTGGGGTTTAGGGTTTAGAGTTTAGGGCGTTGCAGTCAACAACCCTCCCCCACCCCCAGTCCCTGAAGCCCCTATACCAGCGGGACACGAAGCCCGAACACGACTAAGCCTAAGCTCCGAAAGCAGCAGTTCCCAGACCAGGAAACCCTGCACCTGACGGATGATGAGTTCAGGTCTGAGGGGAAAGGGGCCGAACTTCGCTTCCATAGGTTTCGATTCGGAATCGCCAGTCTCATCTTCGAAGTTGCCTGGATGATCCTGATGCCGTCCCAGGGATCACGATATAACCCGAAGAACCATTACCAATCATCATCTCAGACGCATGATGGTGGAGGCAGGGAGGAGTGGGCTCCCTTGACATCCGATCCTGTAACCGGGGTCGTTCGGGGTTTGCCACCTTCAGCTTCCCTGCATTCGATGCTTTGTGCCGTGTTGCCCCGTGGCAACCCTGCGGCATTTTCGAACACAAGCCGAGAGGTAGCAAATCCTTCTGTTCACAATGTTCTCATTCTCGGCTTGATTACCATGCTGATGAGACTAGACTGATTGCGACGGTTGAAACCATGATCGCCACGACACCAGCCCACCGGTACTTGAGACCCAGCCCACGCCCTTCAGGAAGCAGTGCCTAGCCTGCTCTCTGTGCACAGTGGCCTTGATTATTCGCCAGCGCGCCCATGGCATGACAGCCATGCGGCGGGCATGCCACGAGCCCTGGTTGCGGTCCTGCTTTTGGCTCCGCCGGCTTGATTGGAAACGGGATAGGGGTTTGCGGGTCAACTGCTTGGGAGCTGCGAGTCCGAGTATCTTCCCCTGGCATCTCTGCCAGGTTAATGGTGGGGCACAAAGGCTGAAGGACGCTGTTGCGGCCACTGAAACCTTGCATGCTGCATGGCTCGTACTAAAATAGCAGCAGTACGAAGAATCAGGTTAACTCTCCCTCGTCCTGACGTTCAATGGCAGGAGTATAACCTTTGGGTATGTCTGGCGCCGAGTCATTGATCTCGATTGCTACAGCTATCTCCTTCTGAGGGAGCTCCCGCCAGACCATGAAGCCGTCTTAGTCTTAGTAGCGAGGTATTGCGCATTGGGAGTTTCGAAAATTAGGGGTACCTTATTCTGGGGTCCTTAAAATAAGGATCCAACTGAGTACTACTGTTTAGGGTATAGGTCCCCTATTTTCGGAAACTCCCAACTCGGGCGCTTGAAACTGTGGCACTGCCGACGTGCTGCAGCACCATCTTGCCCTTGCAGGTCCACACTGCGAAAGAGGGGTGAAGGCACGCTGTTGTTTGGGAGATAGCTGCTAGTGATGAAGGGGACTACGAGGAAGGACATGATGATCATGATGAGGACGATATGGATGACTGTGCTGTTGATGTTGGTAATGGTGACAACGATGACAATGATGGTAATCATGGTCTGGTGGTACTGGTGATAACGTGATAATGATTCGTTGCGTTTATTATAACCCCCGGCAGATTTGCCACTGCTGCTGCGCTGCTGCTGTTGTTGCTGCGGAGATGGCGAGGATGATTGTGAGTGAGGATGGTGTAACGACGATCATGATTTTTGTGGGCTAAGATTATAATGACGAAAAGGACGGTTGTGATGATCATGGTGATGATAATGATAATGATGGTGATGGCGGTGTTGATGTTTTAGCGGAGCGAGACTGGCATTATCCTGTCCTGCCTCCCTGCCTTGCACACAAGTTCTATTTATGCACGCACTTAACATGTTATGCATGTATGCATGTACGCATGTATGCATGTATGCATGTATGTCCAATGTGTGTGTATGTATGTCTGGCTGCACGTACGTACGTATGTACGTATGTGTTCGTAAGTATGTCTGTCTGTCCGCCTGCCTGGCTGGCTAGCTGTCTGTTTGTCTGTATGTATGTATATAACTGTAGGAGCATGGCATGTGTGGTAGGATAAGATCAGTAAGATCCATGTTGCTGCAACTAGTAGCTCGACAGGGGCATCAACCTGTGAAGCAGGCGAACTGGACATGCGTGATCACAAACGATCATCAAGAACAACTGCCTTTGAGACAGGCGTGACTTCCGAGAGGTACTGAACCCTGAAAGCTTTGACACTGCGCCCTTCATCCCAAGCCTTTGCACCGAAGCCATCCTTCAGCCTGAAGCCTTTTGACCCAGCATTCAGAGGTGGCTGATGTGACCGACCTCAGCTGCGAGGCTCTCGGTTGCTTTGGGGTCAAGTCATTGTAGGCGCTTCCCCGCTGGCCCCCCCATGTTCTAAATCAGGCTTTGCTCTTCTTGGCTTCAGCTTTGCATGGGGTTGTAGGTTTTAGGGTTGGGGGCCTGGAGTTATGGTCAAGTGCTTCGAAATGCGAGAGCAAGGGTGCTGTCCACCTCCAGATCCACCATCGTGGGAGGTGTCCTCCACCGTGGCCCCGTCTGGCCATGAGTGGCCCTGGGTGAAGAAGGCGAGGACCTTCGCATCACAACAACGCCAGCTGAGAACAAGGGAGTGTGCATAGTGGCGACCTGCAGTGTCATATACGTTGTTCGCGTTGAAGGCGACGGAAAACAGCATGTTCTCGACGCATCATGCCTCGCCTGGTTCGTCGTGGGCTAACTACAGGGTCATAATTACGTAGAGCCCTTCTTGAGTACCTAGCGTTTCTGGTTAGGATCTGCCATACTCATATAGAAAATGAAATCCCCCACAAGAGGGGTAGGGTATGACCCTATTATAGTGAGTAGCACTAACCGGTAGTAGCACTAACCGTCGATTGAAGTCAAAAAGCAAAGAAAGCCCTGCCTTGTTGGCCGGCATAAAGAGGGCATTATGGGCTATGGTTTGTGTTGCGGTGGTCTGAAAGTTGGGTACCTGACAAATTCCGGCAACAACAGTAGTTAGTCGTACTTATCTCGACAACAGTAGCTGTGATCGCAGTAGTCGAAAAGCGGGTTGTAATCTTTATGATGGCAATCTTTGGAAACTCGATGGTTGCGCTTGTGGAAGCTGTGGCAGTCCTCTCAAGACCATGGTGTGCTTTCCCGAACGCAACGACATTTCGACGCTACCAAAGTCCTTCAGCCTGCAATGGTTCGCTCCAGTTTAACGGCTTGGAGGACAACTACAAATTACGCTAAACGTCGTCGGCCTCTAGCCTTTCTTGAGTCTGCGGGGTTGGAAGTTTACTTGAAGGTTCATGGAACTTCGTACATAGGTTCTCTTTGGTCGCTTCTTCGCTGGATATGAGGGCTACCTACGTCTGAATGTATCCAGACTTTTAGAGTCGCATTGTGACAAGCTTCTTTAGGGTTCAAGGATCTGAGACTGGTGAGCTTCAGGAGTGGTAGCAGTAGCAAGCAGCAGTAGCAGTAGTAGTAGTAGTAGTAGTAGCAGCAGTAGGACTAGTAGTAGTAGTAGTCGTCGTCGTCGTCGTCGTCGTCGTGGCAGTGATAGTGGCAGCGGTAGTGGTAGAGGCAGGAGGAGCAGGGCCAAGGGTAGCGGTAGCAGTAGGAGCAGGAGTAGGAGTGGCAGTAGCAGTAGCGGTAGCCGGTGCCGCAGCAGCAGCTGCAGAAGGAGTAGCAGGAGATACGGGAAGAGTAGAATAAGCTGTGGCAGCGACAGCTTAAGGATGCTTAAGGTGCAAGGTTTAGGCATTGCTGTGCCGTAGCAAGACAGCCCATGTGCTACCTGGAAGGCGATGCGGAACTTCTTGCGCAGCTTCCATTTGCCACCGGAGAAGCGTGCGCAGCACGAGGCAGCTGATAGTTTGTGTATGTGCATGCATGCATTTGTGCACGGATGCATGTTTGCACGTTTGTAGTAGTTTATGCATGTCAGTATGTAGGTATGTATGTATGTAGGTAAGTGCACTCATGTATATGTCATTATAAACTCAAAGACAGGTTTACGTGCATGCATATCGTTACGAGAATGCTGCACGCTTGTGTCTAATGCACATACACATGGATGGGGCTTTCCGGTGTCCTCGCAGCTTGACATGGCAGGTTGACGAGCTGATCAAGCTGGCATCGGCCCACGTCTTAGACGGCTCTGGGACGGGACGGAAGTCCGTATTTGTTTTAGGATCGCAGCGATTGGGAGCTTCGGGCACCCAAAGCTCCTATGGTCTCCATGGTGAGTATGCTGCTCCATGGTTCCTGTTGCGAATAATAGCAATAGCAATAGCAATAATAATAGTAATGGTAATAGTAATAGCAATAGTACTAGTACTAGTACTAGTAATAGTAATAGTAATAGTAATAGTAATAGTAATAGCAATAGCAATTGCAATAGTACTAGAAAAAAGTAATAGTAATAGTAATAGTAATAGTAATAGTAATAGTAATAGCAATAGTACTAGCACTAGTACTAGTAATAGTAATAGTAATAGTAATAGTAATAGTAATAGTAATAGCAATAGCAATAGCAATAGTACTAGAAAAAAGTAATAGTAATAGTAATAGTAATTTGAAACGCTGCGCGTCGTCCGCCTCGGCCCGGCTGTACGCGCATGCGGCGAGTGGCTACTATCTGCAGCAAGCTCTTGTAGGAAAAAAGTAACAGTTGGAATCGCACTTATAGTAAAAGTAATGTTCATAGCAACACGAAGCAGGATGATTGTGAGTAGTATTAGTACTGGTAGTATCAGTACGAATTTTGGTGTCGTCATTCCGAAACACTGGATACCAAGACTCTCGCAAGCAGCGGGATGCCTTAAGTATGGGCCGTTGAGGCTGTGGATTTCGTGGGCGTCTTGGAATTAGGGAAGCATCAGACCCTTTTCAACCACGTTACTCCGCCTATCCCAACGAAAGGGCGTCTAAAACAAGCCTGAGACGCACATAAACATGCTACATTGCAGTCCCGTGTCGTCGAAAACTCCAGAAAGCTCGCACCTGTCAGCGAGCGGAGGAGGGGCGGGAGGGAAGGGGAAAGGGGGGGGGCGAGGGGGAGGGGAACGGGAGGAAAACTGGGTGGGACTGCCTACAGACTGCCAAAATCCGTTGGAGGGGGCGAAAATTCACCACCGGACCTTGGGGCTAGTCGACACGTTTCCATTTTTAAGGGGGGGGGGGTCAGCGGGCCCCGTTTTTGGGGGTGGGGTCACTGGGGAGGGGATTAAGAGGTGGGGAATAGGAGAATCCGAATAGGAACCTCTGACCGCTTCGGCCGGGGCCGAGGCGAATAGTAATAGTAATAGTAATAGTAATAGTAATAGTAATAGTAATAGTAATAGTAATAGTAATAGTAATAGTAATAATTTTAGTAATTGATAACTACTAAGGTTATGAGTCCTGAGTTTTTTTGACTCGTGCCTGCCAGGCCCCACTGCAGGGTGAATGCTACCTGGGCATCGTGGCACTTGGGCTCGGGATCCCAGACATTCTCAGGGCTCTTTCCCCTGTGGCCAAAGGGTGTGTTTTGGACTCTGCTGAGGTTCTTCGTCTTCCACTTCATGGATCCTGCAGAGAGGCAGAATTTGATCCGCCGGGACTCGGATGGCCGGCTTCCCGTCACGCTCCAGACATGCCGATCCTAGGAACGTCGGTGTTTGGCGGCGTCACGTTCCAGAAAGCAGTGCCCTTGTCGTACTGGGACGCCTCTCACTGAGCTTTTGACAGTGATGCGACAGATCATGAAAGCAGTAACGTCCTGCAGCATTCTACAGCAAGTGCAGCAACGAGGTGTATGCTTCCGGATGGCCCATCTTCGGATTGCTGGCCACGGCGGCTGAAACCGTTCAGCAGCTTCGCAGCACCCTGCTTGTCTATGCGGCGCAGCCTGGAGCCACAGCTTGCTCTGCTAGTCGTTCTGGCGATTGCAAGGCATGATCTGCAGACATCCGGCTTGGAACCCAGGTCATAGAATCTGATGAGGGTGTTTCATGGACCACTTTTGGTGTGCTATGGCTTTCTTGTCGTATGTTGGTGCAATGTGGGCGTATACTATCTACTGTATGTTCCACTATTATCTGCAGGGCTTGGCGCCATGTGCAAACCCTCGTGCAAGTGTTTGCGGCCCAGGTGCGCCTGCCTCGCAGCCGGATCTGGGAATGACAGGCCGCAGCCCTGGCGATCAGGGGCCGAGCAGCGATGTCACCAAGATCTGAAAGAAGCACTCAGGGATCGATCTCGGCCCCCGCGATTGCTGTGACTTCCCTGGTCCAAGTCTTACTTGCGTGGAGAAGTGGGTCCAGTCGTGGCAAGTCCAATTCTCTGAGGTGGCTCGGCTGCTGTGGTGCGGTTCTGAGTTATGCCCGGATGCAGCAGGGCTTGGAGACAATAAGTCCAGTAATGAATATACTATAACATACTATAACATACCATAAGATACTATAAGATACCATAAGATACAATAAAGCACAAAAGTTTATAGTAAACTCTAATGGTCTGTGCTCAGGAAGACCAGCGCTTCTTGTTGGCTCTGGGCCAAAGCCTACAAGGTCGGCTCTTGAGACTAGAGACCTGTCACCAGGTGATGGAGGGGCCTTAGTAAGTAGAATGGGGTTCCTTAATAGCGGTCTATAAGGGCTGCTGCAAGCAAGCAGGCCATGTAAAACACCTGGTAGCTTCCTGTTTGCCCAGGAGCATCGATGGGAAAACCATATAACTCCACCCAGACCTCATCCGTTCCCCAGAGCATCAGTGGACCAAACCATGATAACGTGCACCCAGACCGCATCCGTTCCCCAGAGCATCCGTGGGACAAAACTATGATAACGTCCATCCAGACCTCATCCGTTCCGCACAGTGCATCCATGGGCCAAAACCTCCACCCAGACATCCGTCCCCCGGAGCATCCATGGGTCAACCATGACAACGTCCACCTAGACCTCGTCCTTTCCCCAGAGCATCCGTGGATATCCATGGGTCAACTGTGATTGTGACGTTATCCCACCCAGGCCTCATCCTTTCGCCAGAGCGTCCATGAGTCAACCGTCAGTTTAGCCCATCCAGGCCTCATCCGTTCTGCGGCAGAGCGTCCATGGGCCAAGACCAAAAAAACCAGACTTCACCCAAAATCCGTTCCTCATAGCATCTGTAGGTCAACCGTGAGCATCCATGGGCCAACTATGATAACGTCCACGCAGACCGCGTCCTTTCCTCAGAGCATCCATCGCCAACTGTGATATCGGCCACCCGGAGCTCTTCCGCTCACAAAGCCAACGGCACATATTACATCATACGGCTGGGACTCAGAGCGTAGACTGATGCCGGCAGACGTCCCGTTTCCCTCGTCTTCCCATGCGAGGCCAATCCAGATCTCTTTCGGTAACTTTCTGAGTTCGTGTGGATGCCGCTTGCGCAAGATTTCATCCAGGCTATGCCTGACATTTCATGATTCGTCCTGCTGTTATGATGTCCAGGTTTTTAGGTGAAATACGATCGTACGTGCACAAAACAACTGTTCTAGTGACTAGTGGATGGTTCGACACTACCCTATGCTTTCCTAAATCTCTGGTTGTCAGCTTAGCCAGCGAGTTCCAACCCGAGCGAAAAGCATTTCGCATGCGTTAAGTCTCCAGGTTTTTTGCGCGCCTGCGACCTACTACAAGGCTTTTACAAGGATTTGGCATAGGGCCTTAATGATTAGAACAGGGTTTTGGGGTATGTCATATTTTTTATAATAACCCTAAACCCTAAACCCTAAACCCTAAACCCTAAACCCTAAACCTCCCCAAAAACCCCGGAGACAGGGTTGCTCAAGGACTCGAGGGCTGCCACCTGGAAAGGCATCACATACCGCTTTGCAGCTGGGTTAGGGCACTATAAGGGGCCTTAGTCATCCTATAAGGGGATCTATAAGGGTACTATCATATATGGGGCCTTAATAATCCTATAACTTACCTTTGGTTAGTAGGGAATGGAGGCATGGGGTACAATTACAACTACTAGTACTACCATTCTTCCATTCCCTACTAACCAATGGTCAGTGTAGCAATGCTGCGTGCTGAGCTTGTGCTGAAGGCACTGCGTGGTTGGCCAGCGCCGGGCTCGTCTTGGACATGCTATGGGCAAAGGGTTCAGGGTTTTTACAGGGTTTTTGGGCTCATGGAGTAAGGGTCCCGGTTTGTTGCTTTGTTTGAGGGCCACGGACTCTCCTGAAGCAATTTTTCCACGGCCTGCCTGCTGTGTCGCAGCTCTTACGAACAACCCCGGCTCGGGTTCAGACTTCAAGAATCCTTCTGAACCGTTCAATAGAGGCTCTCCAGACGGATTTTCAAAACCTCTACACCTAACTGCTCCAGGCCCTCGTAGCCAAATGTCCGACAAAAAGCTGAAGCCCCCGCCTGCCCTGCTCCTGCGGCCCCCCAAGCGCTTCCCTGAGGCGATCGGACTTCTCCGGCGTTGCCCCTGCGCACCTCTCTGGAGTGCTCTCAGGGTCTCAGACGTTTGGAGGCTTAGTTACTTAGTTGGTTGGGCTTTGATATGCTTTGATTGGCAGATGGACCCTTCCGGGTTTCATCCCAACCCAACAGGACTAAGCCGAAGACTTGGTCATCTTCATGGCAACGACACCAGCAGCGACATGACGGGGGTGGTGATGTTGATAGCGACGAGATAGCAACTGCAGCAGGAGACGGGCCCTTCCGCCTTCACTTTGCCAGCTGTCTCGCGAGAAGCTCGAATAGTGGCTACATCCAGACATAAGCTAGAAACCTAAACCCGAAACCCTGAAATTATTAGGCACTGCAAAGTGGACCAGCCCCAGCGAGGCAGGAGACTTGGTGGTCCCTTGATGCGGGGATGCAAACTCGAATCATCCTGCACCTTGGAGATGCATGATCCGAGTTTGCGTGTGCAGAAGTTAAGCGTCCTCGACAGCAATGAGCCTACCACAAAGTCCTATGCCAAAGCAAGCTTCAAGGTCCCAGACTCGTCCCCATCAATGTTTCCCTTGTGCTCATGCCGGGACGGCCCATGTGGCCATTCGAAGATCAGTTGCTCGCAGAGTGGGAGATGTATCAGGTGAAGGAACGTTTCGAAGTTTCATCCGGCCAAGCCAGGTCCTGAAGAACTGGCGGCTTGTTGAAGGTTTCGCTCATGTTTGGGAACTTGAAACTCACTCCTTGCAACGTGCTTCCAGGGTTGATGGTAGAACCTCTGAACAACCCAAATGGTATTTCGCTCTCGGTGTCAGTGGCAGGTACCTGTCCCAGCCCTCGCCTCAGGCCACACACCACATGCCGAGTGAGATTCGTTGATGCTACGGGATCCTGGCTGCCTGTGTACGAGTAGTGGGAGCCCTTTTAGGGTTTGTATTCGGGTCCCTCACTTGTTGTAGCTTCCCCAGAATGGGATAAGCTCTGCGTCACTTACGGCCTGTTCGGGCCACATAACTTGCCGAATCTGTATCAAACTTGTCACCAAACCATGTGGCATGCAGTGCTACATGTGAATCTTGATGATATATTGAGTGTTTTGTATGTACGTATGTACGGCGCAGGCTGGTATGCAGGTGGGTTGTCTATTTCTACCGTGCGGTGACCAACACACCTCGACTTTCGAAGGGTCGCTAGACGTTGGGGGTTCATGGGTAGTTTTGGGTTATTATAAGTAGGGTTATCAGTAGAGTAACTATAATCACTTTTTACCCATATTAATGGACATATAACCCCGCTCGTATTTATGGCGGATGGCCCCAGTCTCTTGGCGAGCCTCGGGTTCGATGACCCTTCCGCTTCGGCCTTTGTTTGTTTGTTTGTTTGTCTGATGAACTCTGCTTTCGCCTGGTGGGCGAACGCGTGACGCTTTCGGTTCCATTGCTGACTTCGAGCTTTGATTCCCCGTTTTGGGTGTGGGGGCAATGTCCCGCAAAGTATCACTGTTCCCACTCCCAGGGTAGCAGGATATCACCGGAGAGCCACCTCGCCCACAGAGTTGTTGTTCTCCAGATCATAATACCACGCGGGGATGTTCGAAGCGCTTGAGAATGTCAGGTTCTGTTTTGCCCAATGCGGCCTCGATGAGCTTGCGAAGGTCTTGTGACAGAGCTCTACACCCCAAACCTGCAGATATGCCGCGTGTAGCTCCATTCAGCCCTTAATTAATCCTAAACCCTAAAGCCCGTGAGAGCCCTTGCGCTGCCAGTGCCCGGATGTCCTGTGGATAGCTCCAAGGACAGCATACCGGCGCTGCTCTTGGGGCCGCGCAGGGGCCTTGGCAGGCTTGTTCTGTGTCAGAGTTTAACAGTTTAGCGCTTTCCTCGTTGGGACGTAGCTGCTGTCCGCCAGGCGAGGCTGCCTGGAGCCAGAAGACAGGGGCCCAAGGCCGATAGAAGCATGTTTACTACCCTTCTCCGCCTGATAGGATGCACATAGGCTTTAGGTGTGATCATCAAGCAGATTGTGTAGTTGGAACGTGCGCATAAGGCGCGTCGAGGCCACCTCAAAACCAAGAATACCGGCAGTTTTCCGAAACTAAGCCCACATCACAAGCCAAACTCCCCAGCATACTTGGCATCGCAAGAGCCATTGCCAGCCCAAGGCAGCAGCCTACTTCGCAGCTGCAGAGAGTCTTCTGGTGACAAGCTCCCAGCTGCCATCTCCTGAGCTCCAAGTGTGTGTGTGTGTGTGTCGAAATTGTAGTTGTTGCTTATTGCCATGACTCTCCTCGAAGGGTCTTCTTCGCAAGATGCTCGGCTCAAAATTGGCCCGGCATTAACCAAGAGGTGTCTTTCGCCGCCATGTCGGATGAAGCCGGTTCTGAGCGAAACCGACTCTTCGAGATTGTCCGAGATGGCAGCTATGCCGAAGCAAAGAAGGTCCTGTCAGAGGCCGACATGTCTTGGAAACATTCGGCTCTTCGACAAAACTTTCTGTTTTTTATTGCGGCGCGACGCCGCCGAGGCTCCGAAATGCTTGCAAAGCAGTGTGTCGCCATGGGCGTGGATCTGGAAGATATAGACGTGTATGGCCAGACGCCCCTATTTTGGGCGGCATCACGTGGTAACATGTTAGTGGTCCAATTCCTCTTCCAACTCGGCTTTGAGGTCAATTTTAGGGACTACGCGAGGAAGACAGCGCTCTTTTTCGCCATCGAGAACAGCCACCTTGATGTGGCCGACTACCTGATCGAACGTGCTGCGTCAACCAAGGTGCAGTCCAACCAGAAGAAAACACCGCAGGCGTTGCTGAAAGCAATAAACCATAAGCCTCCGCAGAGAAAGCGAAAGCTGGCTTCGCCAACACCGACTTGTGTCTGCCCTGGCGCTACAACTCGGAGCCACTTCGCAAAATGGGAATGGGCCCAGGCCCAAGAGGAGTCGGAGCCACTTATCGAACGAAGCGAGGACAACGTAGTGCTGGAGAGCCACCAGTATCTCAGTGGACAAGTTAGTGGGTTAGTGTGGATTTGAAACTAGCAGTGACTAGCATACACCAGCCATCGGAGACATCCGATGACTGGAACAAGCACCAGGAGAACGGGAACAAGAACAAGACCACCACCATCACCAGCACCACCACCAGGTGACAGCAGCGACAACAACAGCAACAGCAACAGCAGCAACAACTTCAACAGCAGCAACCACAGCAACATCACCAGCCGCAACAACAATATCAACATCGACACCAGCAGATCGACAGAACGGCGGACCACGTGCTTGCGCAAAGCCCGCAATATCTCAGTAGGCAACTTAGCATGGACATCAGTTTCCAAGGCACATGACACAGTGATATTGTTGATGTGTGTGGATACGGAATCATGGTTGTTGTTGTTGTTGCTGCTGCTGTTGCTGCTATGGACAAGCCTCCCGGACTGCAAGCTTCCTGGTTGACATATCAGTTTCTTCCTGCAAGCCAGCTACGGTTTCATTTTTGTGAGCATTCTGGGAACTTGACTTACACTTTCGGCTGATCTTTGAGCCGCACCGCCAAGGTACTTTGTATGCTCGAATGCGAGAGGCTGTTCAAAGCGTTTGCGATGCTCAGAGCTAGAATTCGCAGCAGACCATGCGCATCTGCACCAGGATACGATGTGGTACCGCAGTTTGACTACCGAGCAAGCGGAGGCTTTCGTGCACGTCAACGCAGATGAAGAACAAGCTCGATTAAAAGTCATTGAAGAGATGGCGACCGGAGGTCGCCCGTCTGCCTTCACACTACCAGCAGTCTCACAGCAGACCCACACACTGGCGGGATATGTGCACGCATCTTTCGCAGACCAGACTCTGGTCATTAAGCACTGCAAAGTGGACCGCCCCCATCAAGGTCGCGGCTTGGGAGGTCTGCTGATCCAAGCGGCCGAGAAGCACGCTCAAAAGCTGGGAGCCGCCATTTCAACAGTTAAACTTTCAGTGCTGGAGACCAACGAGCCGGCCAGAAAGTGCTACGCCAAGTCGGGCTTCCAATATTGCGGCGAATCTCCGTCCATCTTTCCGCCGTGCAACTGTCCTGCGGACAGTTGCCATTGTGCTAATAAGATCAAGTGGCTGAGCATGGAGAAGCGCGTCGCCTGAAAGCGCGCACTGCAAAACATGCTGTTTACTCCTGTGGCCAAGGGCGGTCCCAGGTGAGGGTTGGGTTGGGCGCCTATGGGGTTCAAGTGTGAGGGCTCAGGGTTCGTTGAGCAAGCTTGGGAACTGTGAGGATACCAGCGGCACGGGTCAAAGTTAACGCGATGCTAGGAGGTCACGAAGCGGGACCCTGATAATATGCATTTAGGGTTTAGGTCCACTTTGGACTTCTGACAGCTTGGCTTGGGAGGGTAGAACCCAAGTTTTGCAGGAGTCGCGCTTTAAAGGCCCCCTGCCGAACGCGAGTCTTGCATCGCTCGTAACAGCGACACCATCTAAACATCAGGATTCAGCAGAGCTTCATGCTCGGGGATCCAGACATGCCCACGAAACTCGCATTCGCACGTACATACATGCATCCAGTCCAATGTGGCGCACCGACAACGCTTGCGCTTTGGCAAACCTTACCTAAACTGTGATCACCCCAAGGCCCTAAACCTGGCCCAAGCCACATCATGGTTTCCATCACATTCGTAAGCCCTGAAACGTACCCAACACTCGCAGGTCCTACTCTAAGTTCAGAATCCAACGAGCTCCGCAGCTTAACTCTTCAGTGTCAAAGACTTTACACTGATGAATTACAAGGAAAGTCTTGAAGCCTGGGACCCTAACAATCGACGGCTTGCTCCCTTCAACACCCCGAGGTCCCAGTCCGTGTGGAACTCCACAAAGGCTCTTGTAGCCTGTTGCCCAGCAAAGGGGCTCGGTGAGAGATGGTTTCAGGGTGTATGATATTATTGATCGATATATACGCATGACATACATACATACTTATATGTATATATCAAGATACACACACACACACACACTCACATGCAATGTACACCTGTCCTCGGCGGCCGTGCTTTTGGTTGTCGTGGTTGTCGATGTTGTCATCATCGTGCTTTCTGATTATGATTTCGATGTCGCTCATGGTTTTGCTTGTGATTCTCTTTTTCGCAGTCGCTATTCTCCGGTGTGCTGGCTGGTTGACGGCTCAGGCCCTCTGAAAATCATTAGAGCACAAGATCACGGCGACAGCAGGGCGGGCACGACCGGGACCGGTAGACTACACCCGCAGCATTTGGTAGTTTCTCCCGCCCCAAGCACAACAGAGACGTGTCACACCAAAGGGGTCCCTGCTTTGGCCTCAGGCCTTAGGGGAGCACAACTTGGACGGCTGTGCGCAGCTCTCTCAGTCACAGTCCGGCACTGCAAGAAACTGAACCAAGCTATATAAATACTACTATTACTGTTAATACTATCATTACTGATAATTTATGATTACTATTAGAACTAACATTACTATATTAGTTGGGCTTTCGACAAGGGTTGCAGACTTCGTGAGGTCAAACATGACGGTCTACCACCAGATGCAGTCGGTCACAGCCTTGGTGTTCACCTTAATTAGATGTTCATGGCGGGTTTAGTGATCCAGGTAGAACACATTTTGGATGCTCTGCCTTGGTTTTAGGCGTTGCAAAGGCCTGAAGATTAAACTCGTCATAGTCATAAACACTGCAGAAGGCCTAAACACATCCCAAGCACAAGACCCTCCCAACACCAAACTCTCAACCCGCCCCTCGCCTACTGCCCTGTTCCAACATCCCCCCACCAACTCCGACCTCAACCCTCAACCTTGAACCCGAAAGCCTACATCCCTAATACTTAAACCTTAAACCCCAAACACCAAACCCGAAGAGAGGTTTGGCCCTTTTGGCAGATCTTGGGCCGCTTGGAAGCCCGAGCCTTATCCGTGGAGGCAGGCCTCTGAAGCGCTAAAGTTTTAATTTTGTTTCGATATGTTAAACACCTTTTCCTGCACTCAAGCGCGCGGTTTTCGGGTTTGGCTTTTTGTTTGGTGGGGTTTCAGAGTTTAGGGTTCTTGGGGGCTTTGGGGTTTGGGCTTCGGGGTTAGGGCTTTTGTGAGGGACTCGACCCAAGATCTCCAGGGCTGCGGCTACTTGATATACTGAGATGTAAGCTCTGAAGATTCTGTTCACATCCGCAGGGCCCGTGGCTTCGAGATTGGGGTGGCAGAAGTCGAAACGGAGTTTTTGGTTTGGGGACGGCTGCGATTGGTGGCTGCACAGCATCTTCAGCGCATCGTCGGCGTGGCAAAATGGGGGTCGATCTGGAGCTGTTCAAGATCAATTCCATTCGGATGCACAGTTGACAACTGTGCATCCGAATGGAGCATTGAGTCTTACCTTCAGACACCTTTTTGTTGCTTTGGGCTGCAGCATGCAGCGAGCTGCAAACTGGCGTAGAGCTTCGGGAGGTGTAAGGGTTTCAAGTTGTCTGAAGTTTCTGGCCCTTAGAACAGCTACACCGACATGTGGTTTGTCGAATCTGAAATCAGGCTAGTAGCAGTCAACACCCTAACTGGGTGGGATTTGGCAGATCCTGCACTGACCATAAAGCCTGAACTCAGCTCAAGCCGGTCTCAGTAGTTAGAATTGTATTCTTTAGGGTTCCTTCCGTAGCTATAGTATAGTCTACCCCCCAAGACTCTATTCGCCCTATTCTAGTTATTCTGGCCCATATAGTTCTTCAGCGCTAGAGTCTTGTCACTGAAATCCCAAGCATCCCGAACAGTTGCAGGCATCCCTAAGCCCAAGCCTCAAGCGCTTCACCCACGCCTACGTAAATAATCTGAAGCCTTCAAGAGCTAAAGCTAATCCTAAATCCTACTATCCTAAGACCCTGTTGCCGTCAACCCGAAACCGAAACCCCAAAGCCCTGGGCCCTGAAACCCTGAGCGCCAGGCACCAGCCATCAGCTCATCGCCCTCTCTGCTTCCACCTCCGGCACTTCCCGAAGCTGCCAGGGCCCCGGAATCTGGACCCTGGGAGGACAATGATGACGATACTGGCAAGTAGTAGTCGTCGTAGTTGTAGTAGTAGTAGCAGTAGTAGTAGTAGTAGTAGCAGCAGTAGTAAGTGATGGCTGCTGGACTTGGCAAAAGATCAAAGCCAAGTTTGGCCTTTTCAGAGTCTGCGGGTTCAGGCAGACATACATGTGTATGTCGTCCATCAATCCATGCATCCATCCGTGCATCCGTTTTTGCTTGCGTGCATGCGTGTGTGCGTGTGTTCGTTCGTGTGTCCGTGCGTCCGTCCCTGCGTGAGTGCGTGCACGCATGCATCCATGAATGTCTGCAGCCATACATATACACATACACATGCACACGCACCTCCACCTGTACCTGCACCTGCACGTGCACCTGCAGCTGCACATACACATGATCAGGCACATACAGGTACATCGACATGTACACATATTACCTACGTACCTACATACATGCACAAGCACGCACGCACGCACACGCCCGCCCGCCCGCCCACCCACCCGCCCGCGAGCGCCCGCCCGCCCGCCCGCCCGCCCCGATGCACCCGCACCTGCACCCGCAGATGCACCCGCAGATGCGCCCGCAGATGCCCCCCCAGATGCCCCCGCACATGCACCCGCACATGCACCCGCACATGCACCCGCGCACCCGCACACCCGCACACACGCACGCACACATGCACACACGCACACACATACCCCCGCACCCCTGCACCCCCGCACCCCCGTGCGCACGCACGCACCCACGCACCCACGCACGCACGCACACACGCACACACGCGCACACGCGCACACGCGCACACGCACACACGCACACACGCACACACGCACACACGCACACACGCACACACGCACACACGCACACACGCACACTCGCACACACGCACACACGCACACACGCGCACACGCGCACACGCGCACACGCTCACACGCGCACACACACACACACACACACACACACACACACACACACCACACAACACACACACACCAACACACACACACACACACACACCCACCACACACACACAACACACACACACCACACAACACACACAACACACACAACACACACAACACACACAACACACACAACACACACAACACACACAACACACACACAACACACACAACACACACAACACACACAACACACACCACACAACACACACAACACACAACACACACACCACACAACACACACAACACACACAACACACAACACACACAACACACACAACACACACAACACACACAACACACACAACACACACCACACAACACACACAACACACACAACACACACAACACACAACACACACAACACACACAACACACAACACACAACACACAACACACAACACACAACACACAACACACAACACACAACACACAACACACAACACACACAACACACACACACAACCACACACACACACAGACACACAGACACACAGACACACGCATCCATCATGCGTGCGTGAATGGGTTTTATTTTCCGCCGAAAGTGTAGACAAAGTTTGTCGAAAAAGGAAAACAGTGTTTTCACTTGTGTGTGAGTGACACTAGACAAACTTTGCCGTGCAGCTTTCGGCTTGGAGTTGGATCTGTGATCCAAAAAGTTTTTGTAGAGTAGCTTGTAGTGCTCCGCAGCAGTGGGGGTCGTCAGCGACGTCCTTCCACTCCCCTTTTTATAACTGTCAGTGGCAGTTATGGTTGACCAAGCAGCCCGCAATTACGCGGCTGAGTCGCCAGAGGCGCCGTACCCTAGAAGGGACGGTCGAGAGAATCAGTTGGCAGCGCCACAATGTTTGCAACGCGTGCGACAGTGTCGCTCCTGCCTCCGTTTTTTGCAGTGCAATCCAATTTTCGTGTTAGAGCAGGCCATGCGTGAGGAGATGGCACAACAGGAGATAAGTTATCTCCTTTGGGCCATTAGCTGTGCCATGCGGGTAGACCCCGCGGTCGTCAGCGACGACCATTAAGCTTTGAACCGCGCAGGGGAAGGGGAGTCCAAAGTTTGGCCTCCCTTTTACCCTTTCGCGCAGATGCAAGGGGAACAACCGGACACATCAGGCAGTGCCTTTCCGATGCACCGGTATACCATGTCGCAGCGCGACGTGCCTATGCGGCCAGCGGCCACACCTGGCTGGCCGTATACTGGCCTTTTTGACTGGCCCCCCAGTGGGGAGGAGGATAATGTGCCCAAACTCCAGTGGAGACTTAATTGGGTGGACGCCCTAGAGGGCCACGTGGCCACCAAGGTGGAAGCCAGCGGCTTCCATTGGCACCCAGAGGGTAAGGGCAAAGGCAAGGGCGGTTGGATTAAGATCATCCCTTCGGAAAAGAAAAAGAAGAAGTCTCACAAAGTTGCCAGCGGCAGCACCGACCCTACCGCCTCGTCCAGTACCGCTCTGCCGACAGCGTCGGCATCAGCCTCGGACCCTCCCTTACCGCCGCCAGCGGCCGCTCCTGCTAAGCCCGCTGCGGCCACAACAGGCAGCCCGCCCGCAGCCGCGGCTGCCGACGTCGCTCCGCCAGAGGCGGAGCCTGTCATTGAAGTTATCGATACTGACAGTGATCAGAACTCGGGAGACTCCGAGGTATCCCGGGCTAGCAGCCAGGCCGCAACGGCAGTGCCGTTCGCGCCCAACGCGAACACTGTGGTCGTGTCCCGACCGCAGCGTCGCAATCGCCAGCGGGGCTGGCAGTTCCAGCCCGGGGAGGACCCCCAAAATAACGATTGGCGCAACCTGGGGTCAGCGACCGACAACAGGTACCCTGGCCTCCGTGCGTTAGTGACGCACGCCAGGAGGGTTTCTCCGCAGTTGCACGTCACAGACGTGCACGAATGGCCCTATTGGGCACAACCCAACTCAGAGAGATGGGATAGGTACCCGGAGAGGCGAGGCGACCTCATGTGCTGTCTGCCCTGCGCGCAGCAGGGCTGCATTTCCCAAGGTATGGCAATTTGTGGGCGGCACTGCTCAGTGGGCAGGAGCCCCCACAATCATCACGAATGCGACAACTGCTACCGCAGCAGCCGGGGCCAGCGACCCCGAAACCACGGCGCCCGTGGCGGTCGCCGCTAGGCTCTGAGCGCAGCGCGCAGCTGCTGGCTTCTCAGTGAGTCGCCCTAGTCACTTCTGGCGCAGTGCACCTCTTTTTGCTTCGCCGCCGACAGTTCGGCAGCCTCTGCAGGGCGGGCGTCTCCGAGGTTTTTGGAACCTCGCCCACAGCGACGAGCCGACGGCATAATTTGAAATGCGGCAAAATCTTGCTGCTCGCCTTTTTCAGTCGTGTGTCACGCGAGCCTGGTAGGTCTCTCCAGCTGAGTCAGCTCTTTGAACCGTGTCGGTTTTCAAGCAGTGCTTTTCTTCCGCAGCCTTTTCAGCTTAGTAAGTCGCCCCCTTCGTGCCTTCAGCTAACAGCCTTTGTATGCTATCAGCGATGGCGAACCCAACGAACGAGCAGATGCTGCAGGCGCTCAGTGCAGTGCCGGAGGCCCAGAGGGCCGCCATCTACGAAGCCGCCGTCTCCCTATCAGAGATAGGGGACGTGGTGGTAAATGCGGCGGAGGCAGCGGAACTCGCCGGCTGGACCAAGCCCGCCAGTGGCGGCTCAGAGGCCAATGCCGTCGCCCTTCAGCGACTTCTTTTGGGCTACGAGCCCCCAGTGGTTCCTGCGAACACCGAGCCGCCAGCGGCGGCCCGTGGTGTGTCTTCCGAAGACCACCGCAGCGCGGTGGCAAACGCGTCTCCCACGTCGGCCGCAGCGCCGGCCTCGCAGCGCCGCTCCCCGACCAGCCCCGCTGAGGAAGCGGGCTCGGGCGTCAAAGAAGAACCGCTTCCAGCGGAAGCTCCCTCGGCAGCGCCGGAGGATATGGATGTGGAGGAGCCCAGCGGGCGGCGGGATGAAACCGAAGACGACCAAGGCTCCCGCTCGGAAGAGTCGGAGTCGGAGAGCGACTCCCCGCCACCGCCAGCGCAGCCGCACCCTCCCCTTCAGGGCAAGGTGGCGCGCAAGTCCTCCAGCCCGGCAGTGCCGGCAGCTGACAGGGATCAGGCGCCAGCGGCGCCCCCGAAGGCCTCCGCCCCACGCCAGAACAAGCGTCCTCCCCCGCCGCCAGTGGCGCGTCGTGGGGAGAGCTCTCGCCCGCGTCCCTGTCAGCAGCCCCCGCGCAACAACCCAGCTGGCGTCGCTGGGACCCGGGCCAGCGGCCCGGCGTCAGATGACACCGCTGATCGAGACGATCAGGAAGCTCGCCCGCCAGCGGCGGAGCGTCCCCGAGCGGGGGAGATTCAGCGAGTCTTCGCATGTTCAGTCTGCGACAACATGCAGATGAACATTTGGAGCGATCCGTCTTCGGAATTCGTATGCAGTGCATGCGGAGAGCTCCACCCCTTCGTGGCTGCAGTGCATGCCTACGATCAGCCTAGCGCCAGTGGCGCTGTGGGACAGTTTTCCCACGAGCGTCGCAGCAAGGCCTGGCAGTGTCCAGAGTGCGGCGTGATGCATTGCACACGCTGCGCGAAAAATTACTCTTGCCCAGGCACTGTCCCGCGGACAGACGGCAAGCTCGAGTACCGTGGCGAGCGCCGCCCTACTAGGGGGCCGCCCGAGTCCCTTCGGCTGACCTTGCAGCGCGAGGCAGCCGAAGCCCGTGAGCGCGAGCACCGCGAACGGGAGTCCCGCCGCAGAGACGGCAAGGGCAAAGGCAAAGGCAAGGACCAGAGGTCCCGCCGTGACGACGAGGACCGGGACCAGTGGTCCCGTGGTCGCTGGTCTTGGGACCACGACCGACGCTGGAACCATCGCGAGTGGTAGATACGCCAGCGGCGTAATCCAGCGCATTCCGAACAGTGTTCGGATAAATTTTTTTTTGACGGGCCAGTGGCCCTTCCGTCTGCGCCCTTTTTCACACAGGTGCAGAGCACAGCAGTGCCGGCACAGTCCGGCCACAAGAGCCTTCGCT